TTCAAAGTGGAAAGGTGTTGACTTGCACCATTAGTCACACTGGTCCTGTACACTTTAGCGTGCCCTTCATAATTCTCATGCTAAGATGAAGAGGCGTGTGCATACATGAGCATATGCACATGTACCCCTGTACAGCCCTACTTCAGCTTTGGTTTTAAGCTCCCTCTGGCTTGGTTGGCCCTAAGGCAATCCGTCTAATTAGAAAAGGCACACAAGAAACCAGCTGAGTGACCCCAGCCTACCTCTGACAGCCTTGCATACAGCCATCCCCAGGCACTAGATGCCAGTGTTCTCATCAGCAGCTGAACTGCTCAAAGACTCTTTTGCAAATCACTGCTTCTCAGCACCCATAGACCACTGAAGCCCAAATCATTTGCATATCATTACCTTTGGGCTGATAAGGCATGTGTATGCAATGTCAGGTACACAGATTCACTTGTACCTTGTCAAGCAATCGATTCCAATTCAAATTAAGCTGCCACGGGGACCCAGGCCTGCTATCTTTAACTTTGCAGAACACAATTACCTTGATGAGGGCTACAAAATGCATATTTAAACAAATAGCCATGTTAATATCGTTCCATTTCTGGATCAGCCATCGCTGACACTGAAGTTATTCAACACCAGGCTGCCTGAGGGAAGAAGCAGGGAAAGGCTGCCCCCTCCAGTACACAGATATGTTATTCTCCAGATATTTGAAAGCAAAATTCTCAGCAAACACTGGAACATTTATATAGCTGGAAAATAAAATTAGCAGAGCACAGTCACAGCTGTACAAACAATTTGCAGCTTTGCCCTGCCAAAATACAAGCTTAAGTGATAACTGCCACATTGGTGGTTCCCCTTCAATTCTCTCACCACTGTACAAGATGTTTTACTTGACACATCCCAGCTGCCTTCCCAATGCTTCTGAATGCCTGATAGCCCTCCCAGCATAGGGGTACATCAGCAGTACCCCATAACCTCCTCAAAAACTGCTGTGAAATGAATCTGCCGCTTCCTCTCACCTCACTTCAGGTGCTCAATATGTTTTTTTTTTTAAGGCTTTCTACATACCTAACCAATGCCCCAACACACACACTGCATCTGTTGTTCTTTTCCTTGGATAACAAGTCCTGAGTTAACAGCTCCTTGAAAATGTTCAGTTATTCCTAGATATTGGAGGGTGGAGAGACATAAACTACTCCTCACACTTCAGTTGCAGGTATTAAGGGAAAGCCAAAAAACAAAAGAGCACAGAACTTGCTACATCCATGAGGTGGACTTAAATGATTAGATGAGCCCTTGGAAAGCAGTTTGCTACTACCAACAAACATCACCTGCTATCACCTTATGACAGAGAACATCCCATTTCTGTGCAACAGGGAGATAAACAGCAAAACCACATAAAATCCTGGTATCATGAGGATTGGAAAAGACCACTAAGATCACCCAGTCCAACCACCAACCCATTTCCACCGTGCCCACTGACCACGTCCCTCAGTGCCATATGGTTCTTGAACACCTCCAGTGATGGTGAGTCCACCAAACCATCTCAGCTGTTTAGTTTGCAGGCTATGTAAACTGAATGTTCACTGAAGATGAAGCATTTGTAGAATCCAGTGTCTGTTGAGACTCCTCAATTTAATTTCCCAACCTGTTTTCACGGGGATTTTTTTTGTTTTGGTAGTGTGGGTTTTTTTGTTGTTGTTGTTGAGCTTTGTAGCTACTGTTGTTTTTTTGTTTATTTTTCTGATTCTCAGAGGGTTTTCTAAGAGCACTGCCAAAGCAATAATAGGTAGGGGGTAAGGAGGGGAGGGGTCTTCCCACATCCATGAAATAGAATACAGATGTGTGTAACAGAGACAGTAAAACTGATATTCAGAGCCCAAGTGGATGTGACCCAGGGCAGCCTGCTGTAGGTGTCCTTGCTTGAGCAGAGGGTTGCACCTGGTGATCCTCCAGAAGTGCCTTCCAACTTCAGCTATTTGATGATTCTGTCATTCCCGTATCAGAAACAGCTGCGAGTGAAGGGGGAGCTTTGGTAATTCCAATCCAAACCATGGGATGTCAGTGTCCTCTGGAAAGGCACTATGCTTTCTGCAGTGTTAACAAGCAATCTTTTCTATGGTATGGAAAAGCGTGTCTCCGGTTTAAAGCTAAAATATTTGTAGTTGTGTTCTCTGCTAAATGTGTTTGAAGAATAAGACAACAAACTGGCCTTACTGTTTGTTACTTTTTAGCAGTAGTGCAGAGCAATGGTGCTCTACATTTGAGTGATTAATATACCATTCCGCTCTTTCAAGTGAAAATGGTTGATCAATACCTAAGTTTAAGAAACAATCTTCAGTGGGCAGCCACAATCATTCAGATGTCCTTAAGACCTTCTTCTCTTGTATTCAGATGGCAGTTGAGCTAAATGCAAAGTAATTACTATAAAGACTGTTGGATAGATAAAGCATTCATTCAGGCACTACAACACCAACAGAACGGTAAAGCTGAGGGTTTGCTAGAACTCACCGCAAAGTGGAAACTTAATTATTCCCCAGTGTAGTGTTTCCCCTTACTGACTGTAATTCTCATCAGATTTCATTGCTTTGCTCCAACAAACTCGTCATTAGACACACATCTTTGGTCATTTCAGCTGTTTAGGTTGTTTTAAAGACATAAATAAATAAATAAGCATTTCTAACACTCAATGCATGGAACTTTTAAAAAACAGTATATCAGCTTTGTCAAAACAAAAAAAAAAAAAAAAGGGTACTTCCAAAACATTAGCCAAATGAAGCTTCACCAAACAGTAAAGTTGCTGTGCAGTAGCAACTGAATGCAGCCAAGACCTGACATGGGAGTGTTTCTGAACACAGTTATCTTGAAATGCAGGAACTTTTCCAAAAGCACCCAACTCGATTCAGGCAGTTGTATTTTAATAGTGAATTTGTAAATGACAGCTTACCATTTTTATCAGCCTAGAGACACTTGGTTTCTCTTTTCCTTGAAATACGACTACATTACACACTTTGGGCACTTTACTGCTTTCCACATTTTTAAGACAGTCAAACTCTCTTGGAAAGATTTCTTCCTAATTACCAATTTGTAATTATTGAGTTGTCTGTGGGACGACACATGCATGGTTGCTTGTAGAATCACTGAAATGTTGATTGGAAGAGACCTCTGCAGTCTAACCTCCTGCTCAAAGCACAACTACTACCAGCACTAGAACAGGTCTGCCATGGGTTTGTCCAGCCAAGTTTCAAAAGCCTCCAAGATCGGAGAACCAGCACCCTGTAAGGTAGCCTGCTCCTCTCATACACTACTCCCATAACAAAGAAGTATTTCTCAGTGTCCAGCCTGATTTTTTAAACCAAACTTGTTTTACCATTTCCCTCTATGCAGAATAGTTTGCTTCTGCTCACTGTTCACATGTTTTAGGCTCCTAAGCAACTTGGGCATGCTGTCCAGTTTTTCCATATCCATTGGTGGGCCTGAAGCTGGACACAGTATTACAGGTGCAGCCTCCCCATCTCTGAACAGAGTGTGATGATGACCTCTGTCAACCTGCCAGCCATTCTTTCCCTGATAGCCCAGAATGCAAGCTGCCCTGTTTGTAACTGGAGCATACTGTGCTGTATTCTGCTTGGTGTGCAGGTCCTGTTCAACATGGCACTCACTCAGACAGCCAATTCCCAATCCGTACTGATGCACATGATTATTTTGGCATGTGTGAGGAATTTTGCCCTTCTCCTTGCTAAACTACCTTAAGTCTTTGTTGGCCACACCACCAGTCATTGCCTGGATAGCAGGCAGTCATAGTAGTTAGACAGGATTTGTCATGGTAGATTGAAACCGAAGGTTTCCAATCACCTTCTTCTCAACACTGTATTTGAAAATGAATTCATCGGTTGCCTTTACTGATGCTGGACAGCAGTTTGATGCCTGACCCCAATGTTCCTTCCTATCAGTATTTAAGCCACGGTCAGTACTGTAGTTTCATGTGCAGGATACTTTCGTCATTCATTCTTCTCTATACATTTGTACTTTGACTGCAAACACATTGATCTTCTGCCTTCCCCATTTCTAAGTGAATGTGTTGTGCTGCAAACATGACAAGGATGCAGCAATGTGCCTGACAGCTGTACTGTTCTACAGACCGATGAGGCTACAGAATCAGAACCATTAGGTTAGAAAAGACCACCAAGATCATCTGGTCTATCCATCAGTTCATCCCCACCATGCTCACTAACCATGTCCCTCAGTGCCACATCTCCATGATTCTTGAACACCTCCAGGGACGGTGACTCCACCACCTCCCTGAGCAGCCAATTCCAACACCTCACCACTCTTCCCAAGAAGAAATTTTTCCTAACATCCAATCTGACCCTCCCATTCACCCTATTTCAGTACTCTCAACTTATTTTGTCTAAGGCCATTTCTCCATCTGCTCAGACCCAGGCTAAGCACAGACTGCAAGTCTAAAGAGCTTGTATCAGTCAGACAACTTCTCAAACAGAAAGTCATAACGCAAACTGATGCTGAAAGCCTCAGCATGACAAAAAATAAGCTCTATTCATTTCCCTGTTACTGCAGTTTCCCTAGTACTTAGGGCACACTTTAGGTTTCTGCCGGTGGGCACACCAGGAACGCTGCATCAGCTCGCTGTCACAGGCTGATGTGTTCTGTGCTCTGGAGGGAGTCTCCAGACACAGCTTGAACTCAGTCCTGCAGAGGCCCAGGTGAGCCCTTCCTCGCGTTGCCCAGTGCAACAGGGAAGCTTCTCTGAGATACTCAGAGGGCGGTGAGGCCGTGGTACAGCTGCCCAGAGAAGCTGTGCATGCCCCATCCCTGGAGGGCTCAAGGCCGGGTTGGCTGGAGCCCTGCGCAGCTCCACGCGGGAACGACTCCATCCCTCACAGGCCGCCTCCTTCAGAGCCGAGCACGGCTTCCCCCCTCCCTCCCTTCCCGCACGGCTCCCAGCCGCGCCGTCCCGCCCCGCCCAGGAAGCGCCCTTTGCCCGCGGAGCAGGAAGCGTGGCGGCGCCGGGCGGCAGCGGGCGCCCTGCAGGTAGGCGCGGGGCGGCTGGATGGTGGGCGGCAGCGGAGCGCTGGGCTGGGAGAGGGCTGGACGGGTTGGAAGCTCCGACAGAGCCTTTGTCTGTCGGCATCGTGGAGGAAGGACCTGCCCGGAGAAGAGACGGAAAAGAGGAGGGGAGGGCCGGCTGCCCTTTTTCTACTCCAGTCTCCGCTTTAGCCGCTGTCCCTGTGTTCTCCCGTCCCTTGCTTGTAGCGCAGTTCCCCCGTCCCATCGCTTTCCACCTGCCGCGGGCAAAAGCATCTTCTTGCCCAGTTTCCGATCTCTGTTGCACACAGGCAGCTTCACGCGTTGCCCCGGTTCCCCAGAGCTCCACGACTCCCGCTTCTTCTTCTCATCCCTTTTTGGGTGTTATGGCAGTGCCCCGGCCACCCCACCTCCTGCCCGTCCCAGCACAGCAGCCCCTGCTTTAGGGAGGGCATCGCCAGCTAGTGCTGTATATCAGGAACAGGTTCTGCACCACAGGGTGGCGGGCATGGCACGGGCTGCCCAGGGTGATGGGCATGGCCCCATGTGCCGGAGTTCAGGGAGTGCTTGGACACTACTTTCAGACACAGGGTTTGGATTTTGGGTGGTCATGTGTGGAGTCCGGAATTGGACTCGGTAATCCTTGTGGGTCCCTTCCAGCATAGGATATTCACACCTTGCTCTGAATGGCAGCTTGGTGCCCGGGGTGACCATGCAGAGAACACTCAGACAGCGACAGCACTTCAGGAGCAGACTGCAGGACCCCAAGGAGCCTGAGAGATGGAGCTCTACACTGGGATGACTCCTACAGCCTCCACAATCCAACACAGCCACAGGACAGCTATGGAGGTGAGTGGTCAGGAGAGAAAATGAAGAGTCATCAGCAAACAGCTGAGGTAAAGACAATGGATTGTCGGATCCTGAAGGACTGTCTCCTCTGTTGGTGAGATCAGTCTCCTCTTTTTACAGAGAGGACTGATCATGGGAAAGGAGGAAACTCTCCCTACCCCAGGCTAGCCTGCCAATGTATAAGGACTGTCTGCTTTTTGCTGTGCTGCCATAGCAAATCTGAGCACAGCAGCCATGCATCAGGAGGTCTTTGCAGGATCAGAAGCAAACTCTTCCTTCTGACTTGTTTGCATGCTTTGAGACTTCCCCTGGTAGTTGTGGTCAGACATTTAGCAAGATGCTGGTACCACCTCTGAACTGCTTCTCTGCAGGTCCCATATGTACACCCTTTACAGGGAAACCCTGCTGTTTGTGGTTAGCCGCTCAGGGAAAAGGCCTGTGTGTGCATGGGGCTTTGGCTCCTGCTTTTGGGTGGAACAGGCCATCTGGTACACACTGCAGCATGTTGGTAGCTGGGTTGGCTCCTACCATCAATCTGCTGCAACAGAGATTCTCAGTAGTTGTGAAGTTCTGAGAGCTGTAAGGCTCCTGAAAGCAACCTAACATGTGTTGGCTCAGGACAGCCTGAAATGGCGCATCTGCTGAGATGGTCTCCATCAGCATTCAGCAGATATTTATTTAGTAGGCACTCAGCTTCTGCTTTCCCCTTTCACTTTCTTTCTTCATCGTTCTATAGTTCAGTAAGTCTCTTTTGCTTGCTCCCTTTCTTTCTGTCCAACTTTGCGACCCAAGATCAAAGACTTCAAGACTGGTATCTGTCCAGGACCATTCCCCTCATCTGAGTAGTCTCCTTAATTCTGACGCCATCTAATCTCTTACTGCTTGTTACCGTTCAATAAATAGCTGTTGGTGATAGATTAAGCAGTTCACAACAAAACACCCATCATTTTATGCTGTTTGTTTGCACTAGAGGCCATCTGTCCAGTTAACCAATTGCAGCTGAACTGCTGTCCAGAAATGTACTTTTCCCATGGCTCAGCCATACATAAACAAGGATTGGTAGTTTGAAGCATAGTTCTGGGAGAATGTTTCTGAAGGGATGCTGGCACTTAGGGAACTAAGGATTAAAAGGAGAGTTAAAAAAAAACCAACAACAAACAGTGTCTTAAATACTTTAAAAATATTCCTAGAAATGCTGTGATGCGTATCATTCTCCAGTCCTAGATTCACCCAGCTGGATTCCTTCCCCTGCCACCTTTGATTCTTCCTTTTTGAAGTAAAGTGGGACTTTTTTCATACCACTGTACTTTTCTATTCTCCTGCATTTTTACTGCATCAATTGCCAGTGCCTACCTTTTGTGCTGGTGGCATTTGTAAGACCAACCTGCCCAATAATTGCTTTTGTGGCAATTGTTGGAGTTGCAAAGCGGGATCTGCCAGAATCCAGTAGGAATAGACGTAACATCATATTGCCTGTTTTGTTGGTTTAGCTCCCTCAGCCTGAGAGTCTTTTCTTGGAGGAGAAAGGAGAATTGAGGTAGCAAGTAAGAAAATCATGCTCTGGTGACTAAAGAGTCATTTTCCATTTAGAATAAGTTTAAGAATAATTTTAATTTAAATAATAATAATTTTAAGATTATTCTTGTGGTTGTCATTATTACAGAAATGCCTCCAATTCAACTGTGCATGCAGATTGGCTGAGTCTTGCTTTTTCTTTAAACTTATGGCTGTTGTTGCTGTCTCTCAATTCTGAGTCCAGCACATCTGGTATATCTCCCCCCTCATATACTGGTCATCAGAAAAGAGGCAACCTTGAATCTCCTATAAGAAAATAAAACATATCTGACATCAGATACCTCATTGGTGCACAGGGTACCCATAAACGTTTGTTGCTCAGATTGTTCCATACTTTTAAGCAATTTCTCCATCTGTTCCCCATATTCAGTAGGGGGAGTAGATTTTAAGGCATATTATGTGACACTATTGCTGAATATTCAACTAAGATTTGTTTGCTTTTGTAAGGAGGATTCCTGATTGGTGAACCTGACATAAGCTGCCGAGATGGACCAAGGAGAAGATCAAGATTATGAGGCCTCAAAGGACATGGGTAAGGAATGAGTTCATAAACATAGAAAGCAAGAAAGCAATTTGAGCTTCTGCAGTGTTCTTCAAACTACTTTATTTCATCCAGCTTGATTTGAGACCTTCTCTTTCCTTGTCACTGCAGCCTTGTCAATGTGCTATTAAGAGTATGTATGAAAGACAGAATATTAAGAAGACAGAATGTGACAATTTCCTGGGGGCAAGGAAAGGCTGACTGCACTGCCGTCGGCACTGCCTTTTGTGGCACATCTGCTCTGGGTTGCATGATGAGGTCGCATTCTCACAACTAGTTTTACATTTGATCCCAGTCCTTCCCTGGAACTGCTTCTCCTACACAGTGCAGACGATACTCTCTGGGAGAAGAGCTCACCTGTTCTCTGCCATCCTTGTCTCTCAGCAATAATTACAATTAGTGATTACAGCAACTAGTTGTCATTTTTTCCAGGTGCTGAGATCGATCCCTTTCTGAATCACTTTGCTAGCACAGATCCACGGGACTTGTTGGCAGCAGAATCCGTCGGAGAAGAGGAACAGCTGGAGAACGGTGATGGAAGTCAGTGTGGTTCCACAGAGGCACGGCAAGGTGACCGCAGGGAGGCAGAGGAGGCTAAGCTGCCTTGCTCTGCTATCAGCCTGGTGAAAAGACAAGAGAGAAGGGTGGCAGCACCACAGCGAGCCCCTCGTGCAGAGCAGCCCACCATCTGCTCCGAGTGTGGCAAGGGCTTCAGCCGGAGCATCCACCTCATCCAGCACCAGCGAATGCACACCGGGGAGCGCCCGTTCCTGTGTGGGGAGTGTGGCAAGGGCTTCAGCCAGAGCTCCCACCTCATCCAGCACCGGCGAGTCCATACCGGCCAGAAACCCTACACTTGTGCAGAGTGTGGAAAGAGCTTCAGCCAGAGTTCTAACCTCCTGAAGCACCAGCGCATCCACACCGGGCTCAAACCCTACATGTGCAGCGAGTGTGGGAAGATCTTCAGCGATAGCTCCACCTGCATCAAACACCAGCGTATGCACACAGGCGAGCGGCCCTACAAGTGCTCAGCCTGTGGGAAAAGCTTCAGTCAGCACTCCCACCTCCTTCAGCACCAGCAGGCCCACAGTGGTGTCCGGCCTTACTCTTGCGGTCAGTGTGGCAAACGCTTCGGGCAGAGCTCCGACCTCATTAACCATGCTCGTACCCACACCGGTGAAAAGCCTTACAAGTGCAGCCAGTGTGGCCGGGGCTTCAGTGGCAACTCCAACCTCATCAAGCACACCCGCATCCACACGGGTGAGCAGCCATACCGCTGCAGCCAGTGCGGAGCAAGCTTTCGTTTCCAGCCCCAGCTGGTGCGCCACCAAAAGCACCATGCAGGGTAGTTGGCCACGTGGATGATGGGCCATGGACCTGGTGCCGTTGGATGCTTCATATGGGGTGTGAACTGGGGCAGGGAGCCCTCAGAGCCTGTGTCCTTCTGGCTTGATCGGTCTGTGACCACTGCCTAGGCACTCAGCCTGCACTGAATGAACTAGCGCAGGTTCACTGCGTGAGGTAGCAGTTCTCAGCCCCTCTTCGAGGGAAGAAAGATACTTACCGTGGGGTTGCAATTCTCAGCCCCTCTTCGAGGGAAGAAAGATACTTACCGTGGGGTAGCAGTTCTCAGCCCCTCTTTGAGGGAGGAAAGATACTTACCGTATGGTGTGTCCAAGACCAGGAGGGAGAGACATTCCAAGGATCAGTGCCTTCTTTTGTTATTCTTAGAGGGTTGTGATTTTTGTCCTAAAATCTGTTTGCTGTATAAATTGCCTGGGTTTTGCCTTTGTTGTAAAGCCATAGCTTAGCATGATTGCTCCCCTCAGAATCCACATCTCCCACTTGGCAGTTTTCTTGGGTTTAGGTGGTGTTAGCTATTTATTTCAAACCCCTGCAACACAGAGTTCGATGCCTCAGAGTGTATGTCACAGGCCCAGCCATCCTCTGTGCGGGCCACTCTGGAACTGTATTTCTGCTCGGTTGGATAGCTGTTAAATTGGCAGGTTCTCAGATGATGATGCTTTGTCCTCAGCAGTTTGACAGCTTTGTCCTCAGCAGCTTAAGTAAATTAACATCCTAATAGGTACTTCTCTCAGATTCTTGTTTAGGCGCTTTTGTGGGTGGCACTTTATGAATGTTTTTATAAGGCTTTTAAAAGTATTTAGGATGACTTTTTTTAATTGTGATTTTTTAATTGACAGTTGATGAAAAGAAAGAGGATGATGTTTCAAAATAAGCTATGTCAAACCGATTTTGTATTCAGTGTTAAATATCTTTTCTTGCATAAAAGCTTTTAACTCTAACACCGCCTTTGAGTTGTTAATGATTGCAAAGAGTTGATGTTGACATTGATTTCTAGAATTCCCATGAATTTTTGCAGGTGGTTTTGACATCTTCTTTAGTAATGACTGTCTAAGGAATATGGGGGAGGCAGAATTCTGAGAAAGCAGAATGAACTGACCTCTGAAGAGATCTTCACTTTGAGGAGAAAAATACTACTGCTGGGAGTCTGTCCTTACAAGGAAATTTAGCTCAAACGACTGCTTGGTACGGGGGAGGAGAGAACTGGCAGTAATAACAAATATGTTAATATCTCTAGCGCGGAAGAACTCCCTGTAATGAACGTAGCAATATATACTGAAATGCCTGTTCCACCCACAGAGCCAAACAGTTGAAGAAATCAGTGTGCTTTAGGCAAGAAAACGAAGTGCTTGAATCTGTTGTTCTGTAGAATTTCTATTTTCAGCGTTGTTTATCAGCCCAACACTAACAATGAGCATTCTCATGAAGATGAGCTTCCAAATAGCAGATATCAGTAAGGACCAAAAGAAGGTCCAGCTTGAAAAGCATGGGATTTTGAAAGAAGCAAGCTCTGAACAGCAGCATTATGATTGGAATTACAGGCTGAGTAATGTAGCACACCTTAACTTCCAGCTGCTATGCTCAGCTTCATTCTCCACTGGCAACAGAGCTGGTTTAATTTGTTTGCTCTCACTCTGCTCCCACCCTCTCCCAAGAGTCTGAATTAATAAATCTGTACTGGTTAACTGTGCACATGACTGCCCTCAATCACATCCATGAAATGATCCATGTTTGTAAAATGAAAGACAAGAGGGTTCATCTTAAACAGTACTAGTCCAATCCAGACCACGGTCTCACAAGCACCAGGGTATGTGGTACACATCAGTGACAAGCTTGGTGTAAAAAAAGGCAGGCCAACAAACAAATAACACATCAAGTATTGCTGTTAGTTCCCACAGAAGACATTGTTTAAGATGTTTGTCTCCTTGTTGCACTTTTTTTTGTTAATGTTCCTAGGAAGAACTTGACCTGAAAAAGCCTGACAGATTGCCTTTGTTGTTTCTGTGCTCCCCCAGCCACGTCCGGAGCCTTATGAAAGGACAGTTCATTTTTGGTGTCCTTACTACACATCCTGTTACCAAAAATGTTTTGATGCTAAATGGAAGTTGTTATTCTCCTTTATAAATTGGCTGAAAACTGAGTTGGAATACCAGATCTTGTGTATCTTGTACATATCTTGTATACATTTGTGTTAGGAGCAAAACAATGCTGTGAACAGGAGTATTACTTCTACATGGTAAATTAAACATGCCAGGGGCATGGAAGCCAAGTAATAGTAGCCCATGTGAACTCCTTGGTACAATCATCTGCTTCTGTTTGTTTTTCAAAGAGCACACAGAGAACCTACTGATGGGCATTATCTGTTCCCATTGAGTCTTCGTGTAGATTGCTCTTTTAGGCAGCGTAGTGCTCTCTTCTTCACTTGGCCACATCAGGCCAGGGCATTTCACACACTGTTCAATACGGCATTTCATACACTGTTCAATAGGGCATTTCACACACTGTTCAATACGGCATTTCATACACTGTTCAATACGGCATTTCACACACTGTTCAATAGTTATGAATGCTATAGTCCAAAACGCAGAGCATACAATTCAGCTTCATATTCCTTACCTTTGAAAGCGAGGGAGGTGTTAAGAAAGCTCCACAGTGTCACATCTGGGCACCACAGTGTAGGAAGGACAGACAGTCTTGGTATCCGAAAATGGCTGTCCACCGTGGGGTCCTTTCTCAGCAAGGTCAGCTCTGCAGACCCTCCACCATCAGCACCTTGCCAAATGAGCCCAGTATACTCAAGCTTGTTCTTGCTGCCGTGATAAATGTACACATTCCAGGACACCAGGTGCAGCGCAGGCCTGGGCAGCCATGACAACCGCTGTATGTCATTGTGAAGTCATCACTGCATCACAGACACATCCCTGGTTTAGTGGCCTTTATGATGCTCTGATGTCAATTTGTCTGTGTGACAGAGAGCACTCTGCTGAGCAAAGTAGAGCAAGCAGCCAAGGATTGTGACAGTGGAGCTGGAAGAACAAGGATGTGGGTGGGAGTAGGGTGCTCTGCCATGACCCCAGTCTCTTCTCCCCCTGAGGCAGTGGGCACAATCTCAAGCTGCTGGAGTTTAAGGAGATGCTCAGAGAGCGGGTTCCTTCCAGCTCAGGATATTCCATGGTTCTATGAGTTTAATCATGAAGTCAGCGTAATTGAGATGCTCAAAGAAGAACCAGTTTAGCTTAGCTGCATGGGCTGTTTCTAAACAGTTTGGCCTACAAGTGAAGTTGAGCTATTCACAGAAGTGTACAGATCTCAGGTCTGCTGGGCAATAGCTGAGATGATACCTGCACTTTTCCTTTCAAAGGTCTTAGCACTAGTACAGAACTATGCTAAAGCTCTTCAAAGGTACTTTGAAAAGCACTCTGTGTGCTGCATGCACCTGAGTATGAAAACTTTTAGACTTTTAATTTGCTTGAAGTCCTCTAAACCTGTTGTATTTGGGACCTCTGTAACTGCATACTCACTGATGTGATCAGGGAAGTTGAGACCCTTAGCAATTGCTTCAGCTACAGTATGGTGGTATCTTTGCTTAATTAAGAAGCATCTCTCATCAGGATGACAGGCTGCCCACAGAGACCTTTTGATACAGGTTTCTTTCCTTTTACTACCATTTACAAGAACCAGCCTAAGTTGCACCTTACTGAAGCTGGAGGATGACATCTTCTACTCAGGCACCACAATGGCCTGAGCAGAAGGCAGCCTCTGATCTCTCTTCCCGAAACTGAACACAGAAATGACTATATATATTTATACATATTTCTATTTAAAAAGAAACAAGCCACATTTCTCTCCCCCAGTGCAACTTAAAGTGTCCCTTAGTCTACAAGCCTGCTACACATGCTTGTCTGTTCTGTCACATTGGGTGAAGGTGTATTTGTGCAGCTTGTGACCAAGCTGTTGAGCAGAGGTAGGTCCTGCACTGCATCAGCGGCTTCTGGCTGTGAGGGATGCACAGTGCAGTCTGTAAATAGGCTGCACCAAGATGCATGCAGACTATGTTTTTGCTAATTGCATATCTGTCAGAGGTAAAGCCTGTAGCATTTTACACTGTGGTTTTAACCCATCTCTACTTTCCTGGAGGTTAAAGTCCTTGTAAGTGCAAGGTAAGCAGGACTGAGGCCTCTGGAAACACAGGTTCTGGCTTTGCTAGGGAACAGGTAACTTCAAGGGATTAAATAAATGAACCATTTAGCAGGCTCTTGAGCATCAAGTGCATCCATCTGTGGAAACTCCCAAGGTCAGACTGCACAGGGCTCCGAGCACCTGATGGAGCTGTAGGTGTCCTTGTTTATTGCAGGGGAGTTGGACTAGATGGCCTTTAAGGGTCCCTTCCAACTCAGATGATTCTGCAATTCTATGATTCTGTAATAAAAAGGCAGATTGGCAGTAGCTTTTCCTGCTTTTATTCTCCATGGTGACAACTCAAAAGCAACAAATTGGAAACTGCAAGCATGGTGAATGTATAATGGTTAGTAACTGAGGGTGAGGACATGTCCCAGAAAGCTGTCAAAGTGCTTGTATTGTCGCTGTACAGAGCAGTGTGTCTCTCTGACTCTCCCTCCAGCATCCCACTATGGAAATAACTTCATTACAGGTGAGAAGGAGAATTTAAGCAAAATAGCAAAAGCTGAGCACAGCAAAGAAAGCCGCTCCCTCACTGCGTAATGGGGGAAACAAAGCCGTTGCAGACGAGCAACTGCAACAAAAGAAAAAAAAAAGATACAACCAACAGCTCTGTGACAAACAGCAAGAGGACTATAACCATGGCTGGAATTTTCAATAGGGTGTGTAAAAAGCAGGCCCCTGGCTGCCAACACGTGAGGGATGTGTGATGGGCCAGCGCTGGTGCTCTGCGGGCTGGGTGACACGGGTGCACAGGAGCTCCCCATCGCCTCCACATTCATCTGGTGTTTGGGCACAGAGGGCACGTGGCTCTCAGGGCACAAATAAAGGCTTTGCAGGAATAAAGGTAAGCGAGCAAGTGAAATCCACCAACAGGCACTGGAGATGAAAACTGTGCCATTTCCTTGACTGAGATCTGCTTTTAAGATCAGCCTGACAGCTTTTAATTCATACTTCTAAACTCAGATGTAACACAACATCTTGGAGTCACATTTGCACTCTCTGAGTGATGAAGCACTGCCTCCTTCCCTCTGCTGCTGCTCTCATCAAGGACAAAGAAATCTGAATGGGTTTGCTTTTGTTGTTTGCTCTTCAGAGCTCTTACTGCAGCTGCCCTGGGACTGGAAACAATACCCACTTGTTTTGAAACTGCCTTCGGCTTGAATTTTTAAAATGTTTCCAGTAACATCTCTGCTTGCATTTGAGAATAGATGGAAGGCTTGGGGTTTTGTTTTGTGCTTCCTGTAATTTTTGCTTTTATAAGTGGGGGGGGGGGGGGGCTAAAAAAGGTTGGGTTCTTCTTTTTTTTTTTTTTTTTTGTTTAGACAAAATTCAGTCCACAGCCAAACTGACTGAAGCCTCGGGCTGAAGGTCAGCTGCGAACAGTCGAGCATGCAGAGCAGTCCGAGAGGGATCACATGCATGGCAGAGGGCAGACAGGGAGACAAAGGGCAAAGGGCAGACAGGGAGAGGGGATGAAGGTCTCTCCTAGCAAAGGCAGGTGTGAATGTCCAGAAGCAGTTATAAAGGTCCCAAGAGAATTGGCATGGGAATCATGGCATATTCCTCCAATTTATTCCTATTGTTACTAATATCATTCTGTTTCTGATGCTGATAATTCAGCTGGCACTATTGAGGTGGTATCAAAAACAATAGTTGACCCATCATGTAGAGTACAGGGATCTCTTCTCTGACCTCCCAGGTAATAGGACAACGGCTTCAGGAGCCCCAAGTGACTGCACTTTTGGCAGCTCAGCTGCTACACAAAGCATACACACCATTATAGCCAGATGGCAGTGCTGCCCCACAGAGGTTCCAGGAGTCAGTCAGTTTTGCAGCACCTGTCTTATGCCAAAGGTCGGTTTGCTCCTGGCCCAGTTAAAGAGTGAGCTAAAGCCACTTCAGCTTCCATTTCCACATGTCCCTGACCTGTACTTAGTGACACAGAACAGAACCTCACCCACAGCTTCATGTGAAAGGTCCCTGAAGGAAAAAAGATAGCTCTGAGCATTTTCTCAGTGGAACGGTCTCAACGACTTATTTTATTTTCGGAATAATCCAGGCATGATAAACTTTGTATTTATGTACCTCAATGTGGCCTTCCAGTACTTGAAGGGAGTGTATAAACAGCAGAGGGAATGACTGTTCATGAGAGTGGATATTGATAGGACAAGGGGGAAGGTTTTAAACTGAGACGGGAAGTTTAGGTTAGATACTGGGAGGAAGTTTTTCACACACAGTTGGTGACACACTAGAACAGGTTGCCCAAGGAGGCTGTGGATGCCCCATCCCTGGAGGCATTCAAGGCCAGGCTGGATGTGGCTCTGGGCAGCCTGGTTTGGTTGTTGGCAACCCTGCACACAGCAGGGGGGTTGAAACTAGATGATCGTTGTGGTCCTTTTCAACCCAGCCCATTCTATGATTCCAT